GTTTTTCAACTTTTGATCGATGAAGTAAGAGCCATGCTTTTGATTACGTATCGTCAAGTCCAGAGTCTCACAAAACAAGGCGTTTCACCCGTTCTACATGTTCCAAATTGCGAGTCTTGTCCTATGGTCGCTGGATGAATACTATTACTATGCCGTTTGCATTTTCCTCATATCGGTATTCAGTATCTGCGCAACCATTTTTGAAACACAAACGGTATGTGGTGGTCGTCATTTGGATTCGGATTACCCAAATAACTGAGCTTGATGCAGACGATGAAAAGGTTGAGGGAAATCTCGCTTTTTGAGTGCGATACCCGCGTGCTTAGGAATGGCTTCTGTAAGTATTAAACCTTCTGCATCAGGGGCTGGAACGCAAAAGTTAATTTTTGGACTGCCAGGGAGGACTGTCCCTTCTCGGGAATTGGTCCCCGGTGATGTCTTTGAATTCTCGGATCCGTCTTTGAATCAAGTGCCCTGCGACTGCATCTTGTTATCTGGAGATTGTATCGTGAACGAGAGTATGCTGACAGGTCTGTGGAACAACTAACCCGGTAATTCTGTTGCGTGACTCGAGACTGACTCTAGATAAGGAGAGTCGGTTCCTGTATCAAAACTCCCGTTGACAGACGACGCGTTGAAGTACCTTAACCTTAGTACTCCATCTGTCCACCCGAATGTTGCCAAGCACTTCCTTTTTAGTGGAACAAAGGTCATTCGTGCACGGCGGCCACATAGCGTCGATGACGGTGAAGCCATTGCGTTAGCAGTGGTTGTGAGAACTGGTTTTTCAACAACCAAAGGTGCCTTAGTCCGTTCAATGCTTTTTCCCAAACCCTCAGGATTCAAGTTCTACAAAGATTCATTTCGTTACATCACAGTGATGGGTGTAATTGCTGCTTTTGGCTTTATAGCATCATTTGTCAATTTTGTCCGCTTAGGTGTAAGTCTGGCACAAGAAATGGTAGAAGAGTTAAGCTTACATTGCGCAGCTTTCCTGGCATTTAATCATTGTTAGGGCACTTGATCTAATCACGATCGTTGTGCCGCCAGCATTACCAGCTACTCTGACAATCGGCACCAATCTAGCTCTTTCACGACTCAAGGGTCGCAAGATATTTTGTATCAGCCCGCAAAGGTCTGAAACCGTTCTCTATCCGCTGTGATATTTATTTACTAAGAAACCTGCAGGGTCAACGTTGCAGGCAAGCTTGATATAGTCTGTTTCGATAAGACTGGGACTCTAACAGAGGACGGTCTGGATGTGCTCGGTGTGCGAACTGTGACCCAGGACTTGAGGTCTGCACCACTTGATATATCTTATAGATGTGTGCTCACTAGGACAATACAGATTCACCGATCTAAAACCTGATTTGGCTTCTCTGGCCTCCACATCTTCATCTTGCGTCGGAGCTTCTGTCGGTCCTCAACAACACAAAAATATTATCCACGCTATGGCAACATGCCACTCTCTCAGAGTAGTGGATGGCGAGCTAATGGGAGATCCTCTCGACGTGAAGATGTTCCAATTCACTGGCTGGTCCTATCAGGAGAACGGAAGCGAATCTATAGAAACCCGTGGTCCTAAGTACGAAACAATCATGCCACCCATTGCGAGGCCGCCTAATCAGATAACCGATTTGAGTGGTCAAATAGGGGCCAGTCAGACTGTAAGCGTGCTTCCTCTATGGGAAAATCCTATTAGGACGCGCAGCACATCACTGATTCAAACAACGACACGCTTTTTTAGGTACCAATAGAACTCGGAGTCCTCAGGAATTTTGAGTTTGTCTCCGAACTGCGCCGTGCGAGTGTCGTCGTAAGACAGTTTGGAGATGGCGGAGCAAGCTTTTTCGTCAAAGGCGCACCAGAAAGTCTGAAGACCATTTGCCTCCCTGACAGTTGTGAGTCAACCACCATAACCACCATATTGGGTGTTTATATCGAGCCCAATGAACTGACAACGTTGGACAGTGCCACACGATTTCGATGAATTGTTGAGCTACTACACACACAAGGGTTACCGTGTCATTGCGTGCGCTGCGAGATACGAACCAAAACTCAGCTGGATGAGAGCCCAGAAGTTGACTCGAGAACTCGTTGAACGCGACCTAGAATTCATCGGATTCATTATATTTGAAAATAAATTAAAGCCCAGCACTACTGGGACAATAGCAGAGCTCAGTAATGCAGGCATACGAAATGTCATGTGCACGGGCGATAATATACTTACGGCAGTCAGCGTGGCCCGAGAGTGTGGCTTGATTCGAGCGGATGAACAGTGTTTCATACCAAGATTTACGGAAGGTGAGTCTACCGCGGTCAGTTTGTAGCAAATCGTTGACCAGAGTAGGTCATCACCACGATATTGGAGCAGCTCTGGTCTGGGAATGTGTTGATGATTCGGCGCTGAAGCTTGACCCGAACACTCTATTGGTATTGACTTTGCCTGCCCTTGAACTGATCTTACGGCTGATGAAATTTAGCCGTCGTTGACTCCGACAAATGTGGATCTTTCCGTGCCCGCAATCGCGTGCAACATTAATAAGTATACACTTGCAATCAGTGGAGATGTCTTCAGATGGGTTGTGGATTTTGGCAGCGATGTTGTTTTGAAAAGGGTGAGCATTCGAGCGAGATTCGCAGTCTTCTCTGTTTCACTTTTTCCCTTTTCCCTCTAACACTGCCGCAGATGCTTGTTCGAGGAAACGTATTCGCCAGAATGTCGCCTGATGAGAAGCATGAACTTGTCGAAAGACTCCAGTCCTTGGATTATTGTTGTGGATTCTGCGGGGACGGAGCTAATGACTGCGGTGCATTGAAAGCCGCAGATGTCGGTATATCCCTCTCTGATGCCGAAGCATCCGTTGCGGCGCCTTTTACCAGTCGTCAGTTTGATATATCCTGCGTTCCACAACTGATCAAGTCAGTGCCTACCCATTTCTCATTTGAAGTAGATCTTTTGCTAAGCCAGCAACAGGGAAGGCCGCGCTGCTTTGGTTACCAGCTTCTGTTGCTTCAAGTACATGAGTTTGTACTCAGCAATTCAATTCTCGAGTGTCAGCTTTCTATACACGTCAGCATCGAATCTTGGCGATTTTCAGGTGAGTATAGTAAACACTTCTCAGGGTAGTCTCGCTAACAGTTCCAGTTTCTGTTCATTGACCTGGCACTCATTTTGCCGATTGCAATATTTAGTAAGCATTCTAAAACATCTTTAATACTATGTTGATTCCAAAGCTAACGGTTTGAAGTGGGCTGGACTGGCCCATATCCTGCGCTTTCCCGCAAGCGACCAACTGCAAATCTCGTGTCACGGAAAGTGTTAACTCCCCTGCTTGGTCAGATATCCATATGCATCCTTACTCAATTCGTGGCGTTCAAGACTGTCCAATCGCAACCATGGTATGTTAGCATGCATATAAATCTCCACCGGAAGCCTGATTTTAACCATTCACAGGTTTCAGCCTCCAAGAATAGACTTGGACAATAGCAACATAGAGAACTCCGAAAATACTACTCTATTTTTGATCTCAATCTTCCAATATATATTTACGAGCATCGTTCTGAGCGTGGGACCACCATTTCGGATGCCAATGAGGGCGAACAGTGAGTGTTACATCCTTAGTGTTCGGATTAAAATTGACTAAATCGATAGAACCCCTGATCGTCACAATTGTCGTTGACACAATCGTGTCAAGCTACATGCTCTTCGATCCACCGGAGTGGATTATCGAAACTATGCAGCTGACATTCGTATCCAGGGGTTTCGCGTTTTGGCTTTTTGCACTCGCTATCAGCACATTTCTACTTTCGTTGGTCACGGAACGCAAGTTCTTCCCCATACTCTCCCGGGCAATTGGTCATTTGAAAACACGGCTACGCCCGGGAAACCGTAAGCAGCGCCGTCAATATAAAGTGCTGCTTGATGAAATGCAAACATGAGCCTTGGTTGTGGATACATACATAGCATTGATATCAACGGTAATGCTATGGAGCGATTTGACCGCACTGTGTGTGAAGGATTTCAACCTCGCCGCTCGTTCCCGCTCGACAAATGGTAGTCTTGAAGAATTGGGCTGTACAGGCGAATCGAGACGGACATAGTGTTGATTATCATATGTAACGGTCATCAATGGTCCCAAGGATGCTTCCAACCCAACAAAGCGGGGCCATCCTTCTTCGCACGATACATGAGCTGAGAGGAGGTAAAACCATTAAGTCAGTATGCACCTTAAAATAGAAATAAGAGTGGGAAAGCTCGTACAAAGAACCACATGCTGGCACCTAAGGCAGTTGCTGTGAAGCGATAAAGCGGCCGTGCCGGATGAATGTGGATAGGATGGTTCGCAGCCATCTTGGTGCTAGCAAGCTCAATTAGAATATTTATGAAAGTCTAGGCCCGAGAATATACTTGCTCAAACAGACACGTTCAGCAGCTTCTTTCAAGATTTATGAAGGCAATATAGTGCTAAGACATGAGAACTGTCTCAGAGATGGTCGCCAAAGACAAGTCCAAGTCAAGGGTCACGGGAGCTCCACGTGACCTCAACCACTAATCTAAGCAAAGGCGGAAATCATTCTACTTACTTACCATGTGCTTGTGACTTACGGATATATAGCATTGGTTTCCTAAGCGATAGTATGGTACATACATATTATTGTGGGGGGCTAGTGGTAAATCCTTATATTTGAAGTTCCGAAAGATTTATTAATATGCATCAAGACATTAAAGTCATTAAAGATCGACTGTCTTGAGTTGATACGTACCTTAACTTTCACAGCTGCAACCCCCTTATCCTTTCAATCGGTCGAACTACAGTATGATACTTCCCTACATCATATGACTGGCTCTTCGGTCCCTAGGTTCCCGAGGTACTCTTCTCATTCCCTCCAAACAATATCCCGATGGCTCACAGTGTTAGTGGGTCATCATTGGACGTTCGGCCTCGTGTAATTTCTATCGCGCAGGTTATTCCTCACTTGAAGAGCCAAATTCTTAAATGAGAATGGCTATCGCATCTCTGGAAAGGGATGACCATGGCAATCCGAGATTCCGGGGTTGTACCAGCATCCGCGATTTTGAGTTCTTGGGCAAGCTGGGAGAAGGTACCTTTGGGTCAGTATCGTAATGCATGATTCCAATACTTTGTCAAAATACTGATTGCTAGAAGGGAGGTCTACAAGGCACGTTCGAAGAAAGATGGGTCTATAGTTGCACTAAAGAAGATTCTCATGCACAATGAGAAGGATGGTGTCAGGTCATTCGATCATGGACAACATTACCAGAGGCTGATAGAATCTATACTAGTTTCCTATCACGGCCCTTCGTGAAATTAAACTGCTGAAGATGTTATCGCACCGCAACATCCTCCAGTTAAAGGAGATGGCTGTAGAACGAAGCAAAGGTTTGCCGGTTGATTTCCCCAAGAAATTGAGAGAAAACTAACTTACTACAGGGGATGGACGCAAAAAACCAAGCATGTACATGGTGACTCCTTATATGGAGCATGATCTTTCGGGGCTGTTGGAGAACCCGGCAGTGAATTTCACTGAACCTCAAATAAAATGCTATATGCTTCAGCTTCTTGAAGGACTTAAATACCTACACGGTGTATTCCTTCCCCTTTACCATATGACCGGAGACCGTTCTAATTTATGAGTTACAGAACCGCATTCTACATCGCGACATGAAAGGTTAGTCAAAATGCATTCAAGACGCAGCGAAAGGCAATTCTTGTGCTGACCTGTTATAGCTGCCAACTTGTTGATAAGCAACAACGGCGTACTTCAGATTGCGGATTTCGGCTTAGCTCGGCCATATGATGAGCCTCCGCCTGAGCCCGGAAAGGGTGGAGGGGAAGCTAAAAGAGACTATACCACATTAGTTGTTACACGGTGGTACCGGCCCCCGGAACTTCTCCTTCAACTTCGACGTTATACAACAGCTATCGATATGTGGGGTGTTGGGTAAATCTTCTGTTCTCTTGCTCTCGCCTTTTGTTCTTACTAACCATTGTAGGTGCGTTTTCGGCGAAATGTTCAAGGGGAAACCGATTCTTGCTGGAAGCAGCGATCTCAACCAAGCCCAGCTGATATTCAATCTTGTTGGAACACCAACTGAAGAAAACATGCCCGGTTGGAGTTCTCTACCTGGCTGCGAGGGGGTGAAAAGCTTTGGGTATAAACCAGGCAGTCTACGTGAGGTATTCAAAGAGTAAGGCCTTGTCTTTCTATTGACTCAGAATCCAACAGGACCTGTCCTGAATGTTAAATGAAAAGCCATCTGATTCAGGTCACAGTCAAAATCCTATGGCCATATCCCTGCTCGAGGAGCTTCTCAAGCTTGACTGGCGGAAAAGAATCAATGCTATTGATGCAATAAACCATCCCTATTTTTCCAGCCCGCCATTCCCTGCCCGACCTGGGGAGCTCCCTAGTTTTGAGGACTCACATGAATTTGATAGGAGACGTTTCCGTGGGCAACGAGGCGCCATTCCCCCGGCACCTGCAGGGGGCTCTGTGGGTATGGGTCCAAACAGTGGCTGGGCAACTAATTCCGGGCCCAGACCAACAACAGACAACAGAAATAGCCGTATTCCCGGTGCTGCACGCGTTGGCCGGCTCCCTGCACACGGGGCTCAAAACCATCCTACAAAGCGCCCTTCTGAAAACCGGAATGCTGTATCGCATGGGTCTTCAAACGCGGGGGAGTCGTTTCCAGGTTTCTCGGGTTCAAAAGATGGCGGCTTGCCTCCTAAACCTCCTGCGTCTGCTCATCAATCATGGACCATGGGTCATTCAAATAGGGCGACACGTGAGAGAGGTCAACGCAATCATTTTGGAGGATGGCCTGATGGGAAACTGGATTCGTACATTCCGACTTACAGTGACGCTAGTGGACATTCCCGAGATAGGAAAGGCAATAGCCCGAGTTCCATTGTTGATCGGCGTGGTCTGGAACTCGAACAATCTAATGAGGGGCATAAACAGGGTCATCCTTGGGACCGATATGCTTCAAGAAGGCGAAGCCGGAGTCCTGACTCTCGAGCGGCTCGAACAGAGGATCGAGCATTGTATCGACGATGATAAGCTCGTCCTTGTGAGAAACTGATGCAGAAAGGCTTTGCCAATTGAACCCTGTTACGCTCTTGGTACCGAATGATTCAACGTTTATTATGCGTCTCCTGCTGTCTATGACTTACTGAAACCCAGGCAGCTGAGGTTCGAATTGGTGGGTCTCAGTTCTAAATCTGTGCCTTACCAGTACCAGCAAGGAGTGCATTTGTCGCCTCATGGAAGCTATGGTATGTACCTTCTTCACATGATATCCGGGGAGAGCCAGAACGTACAAATACAGCTGCAGAAGGTGAGTAATGCATTGAGTTTGTATTGATGAATACCGATGAAGTTTAAAGTGTTCAAATCCGGAACAAGATTTGACTTGTTCGCGCCAGCGTACGTGGGAACTTGGGATGGAACCCATGATCACGTTTAGGGCAGGTCGACTGTAGACGAGAATGCCAACAAAAGAATTCATACTAGACTATGTTCGTTGATTCCAGTGATGTTCAAAAATTTCCCCTTTTGCCCTCTCTATCTCCTTCTCTATTTACTGTTTTGTCCTCTTGAGCACACAAGACTGGCACTGTTCAACCATGAAATAAATCCTCCTCAATACACATGGTCCGGACTTGGAGTCCTGCAGGATTCCCGAAGTTGGGTGAATATTTTCTGAGCTGTGCAAGAGCCTAGTACAATATTCTGGTCATGATGCGGGCTAGATTAAGCAGAGATGTCAGCCACGTATCCCTTGAATTCTCAAACGGTCACACTTACAGGACAAGCTTTCTAGTCTTTCATATAATTCCTTGATGGTGGCATTGTCGACGTTACTGATATCAGCCATAAGATAGGCCACCTGCACAAATTTAGCATTGCAATATCTGAATTGCCAATTAAGGTATCGTGACGTACATCGCCTCTACTATCAGTCATTTGTTTATCAACATTATGGTCCCCGAGAACTTCGTTCACTATATCAAACATTAGAACGTCAAATGCCTCAGAAAACGGTTGATCGAGCCAAACCTTTGCGCAGAACTCCAGGGACGTTGTGATGAATGTAGATGACCTAAACGAGAATTCAGCGGCTGCGAACTATGTTGTAACTGAGATTTCACTTCAACCTACCCTGGCATGGTTGGGTTCCTCCATTGTAAGTGAACGAAGAGTGACTTCAGGGAGGTTGACGGCACCGAGAGTTGTTCCTTCATTGACGTATCGTACTAAAGCTTGTCCTACCTCGACGCCTATGGCACTCTGCGCTTCTTCGGTGCTACCTCCAATGTGTGGGGTCAATATCACGTTCTTGAGACCACGGAGATCCGAGGCCCAGGTGTTAAGATCATCATTGAAATAGTCACCATTGCCGGCAGGCTCATTCGGGTAGACATCGAGGGCAGCTCCCGCAATCTTACCAGAACGCATTGCGTGAATGAGGGCGGGAATATCCACAACACTTCCTCGGGAAGCATTGATCAAATAAGCCCCAGGCTTCATTTGCTCGAATTGTTGGGAGCTTATCATGTCCTTCGTTTCTGGTAGTTCAGGGACATGGCAAGTAACAAAGTCAGACTTGGACAAAAGGGCTTCCAGCGTCGGCACTTGCTGGGCAGTACCCAGTGCCATCAAATTCAAGACGTCGTAGAAGATGACCGACATGCCCATTGCCTCGGCCAAAACAGACAATTGCGCGCCGATATGACCATAGCCGATGATCCCTACCAAGAGAATAAGTCTCGACTCCACACTTCAAACAGGACAGGCGTACCCAACGTCTTCCCACGTATTTCCCAGCATTTAGCGCTTACTTTGTTCCAAGTACCGCCATGCATCTCCATTGAGCGGTCACCTAGCTGACGGGCAAGGGCAATAATCTCAGCTATGACCAATTCGGCCACACTTCGAGAGTTGCTGAAGGGAGAATTGAACACTGCAATGCCATGCTCGGCCGCGTATTGAAGGTCGACCTGGTTAGTCCCAATACAGAAACACCCAATGACGATTAGATTGCGAGCTTCCTTGAGGACGCGGGATGTGAGCTTTGTCTTCGAGCGGATACCAATCACATGCACATCACTGATTCAAAGAGGTAGACAGTCAGCTCAGAGAAAGTCACAAAAGGTTCGGCCAAACGAACCGTATCTTCTCTATTAATTGATCCTCCGGGAGAGAGGATTTGAGGAACTCGACTTGATAGCCTTGTCCCGTAAGAATATCGCGGCCAGTTTGATTTACGTTCTCCAAGAGCAAAACCTTGATGTCCTCTGTAGCGAAAGGTTTTAGATGCTTTGCATTGGCTAAAGGAATCGTGCGGCCTGCAAATGCAGACCCTCCGTGACTCGAGGGTGCAGACTGAAAGGATGCCGTTGGGGATGTGGAAAGGTTCGCATTCTGAGAGACGTTGAGGTCTCGGCGTATATTTATGTCACGAGCAGATGTCGCCATTTTGACAATAACCGAGCGAAAGCAATGAAAAAGCAAGTAATTTAGTGAAGATATAGGTATGGAGCAATTAAAGCTAGAGAGGGAAGATTTCACAGTGAATTCAATGTTTTAAAAATATTAGGAACCATATAATAACAGGCTCGCCGGAATCGGACACCGACTGTAAATCACGACATCTCGCCGATCTGAGTCATTGAATTGAGCTCGGCGGGGCTCTCGTTCTTACCCCTCCTATCGGAGACATGTGGGAGGCTCTGGAAGCTCCACTTCGGCTTGCCTAAGATAACAGGAACATCACGTTCTCAGTGATAACCGATACAAGGAATGCAGCTTAGCGGGGGTTGAAATTGAAAAAAGCTCAGTGGGTGCTGAGAACCATGACGCAGAGATGTAGGAAGCCTTCTTTATCGTTGTATTTAAGCTTAATAGTCGACAACACCCATTTCCGATAGCGCCGAGCTACAAGCCCTAACTAGAATGCAAATATCCAGGATACTCTATGGCACCGCCAAGTCATTTTATCGTCCATATATCGAATAGTAATGTATTTAAGTACCGAATGACACGGCAGTTTTGGGGTTACAAGGGGGAGTATTCTTTTCATTTCCCGATGGATGACTGTCTGACCTCAGTGAGTAATCACACATCAGCAGAGTTGGATTCCACGGGAAGAAGGGACCACTATATCAACCCATTTAGACCCGAAGGTCCTGTAGCTTCTTGGTAGCTTCCCCGGTGCCGGCTGCAGTTTTAATGTCCTGTCTGCTTTTGGATTTATGGGATGTCGTGTCTTTAGGAAGATCCTTGGTGTACGGTAAGAATTCGGGAGCGCCGGGGATATATTTCCTCAGAGCCTCGGGCACATTGAATCCCTATACTTCATTAGCGAATCAATGCCATATGATATAGCTCGTTTTTCGACACATACATCATCGGTTTGATAATTTTCAAGGATGCAACAAAGCGTACGCTCTGTAGCACATAGCGTAGCATTGAGCGCGTGGACATAGGATTTCTTGACATCAGTGGCTTTCTTTGTGCCATAGCGGATTTCCAGAGCTCGCGCCTGGTAGTCGGTGCAGTTGGAACAAGAAACTAATTCCTTGTATTCACCCTGGAACGGGAACCAGGCCTCGAGGTCGTATTTCTTCGACGCGGCATTGTTCAAGGCGCCTGAAACGATAGCGACGACCTGATATGGAAGACCAAGCGACTGATAAAACTCTTCTGACGTGGCCATCATCTCTTCAAAAACTTGCCATGAGTTTTCAGGCTTGGTAAGAACGAATTGTTCGACCTAGGGATGCATGAGCAAGCAAGCAGACGAACGGTGACAGGGTTATCAGAAGTTACCTTCTCAAATTGATGGACACGGAAGATACCCCAGGCATCTTTTCCATGAGCACCGGCCTCCTTTCGGTAGCATGTGCTGTACCCGGCATATCTTTATCATTCTTAGCAATGAACACAGTGTCAAACGCTGAGTTGCTCACTTGATTGGAAGATCTTTGTCCTGGATCCATTCTCCGTCGTGCAGGGCCGACAGCGGTTGTTCAGAGGTGGCTATGAGATACTTGTCGGTAGACTTGTCATCGCTCTCAGTCACCTTGTACAGCTCTTCATCAAACTGCTCGAGTTGCGCGGTCTTCGCCATCAACTCTTTGAGCATGAATTGAGGCGGCTGGTTGGGTTTGTACCCTTTCCGCCAAAGAAATTCAAGACCATAGTTGATAAGAGCCAGGTTTAGGAACAGACCGTAGCCTGTCAAACAATATCCACGGTGGCCAACAATTTTAACACCACGCTCCGAATCGTACCCATCAAGGCGGGTGAGGACTTCGTGATGAGAAAGACAATTGCGCTTCTCTACCACCACGTTTTCCGGGGCCCACGTTCTGACCACCACATTGTCATCCTTTAAGTATATGAGTTTCCGATACTAGTATCAAGATCTTGAAAGAGCAACCCACCTCATTATTGCTCACAGGCACTGACTCATGAACATAGTTCCCAATTGTCCGAATCTTACGATCTCTCCTGCTTTCCTGTTCAGAGGCATGCTCTTCAGCCTCCTTTTTCCGTTTTTCCAGAGCGGCCTTCTGTTCCATCAAGACACCCGCATCCTCTTTATTCTACCCCGCTCTAAGCGTTAGAAACGTATAATTGACAGAAGAGAATTAAGCAAAAGTATGGAGTAGGTTTGAGGGGTAATATAGACAGTAAGGTTGCCTCAAACCACTTAGCAACAGACCTTCTTTCGCTTTCCGATTTCTTTTTGGAGCGCATTGAGCTCTGATCCTATTTGCATGACTTCGTAACGCGCTGCTATGCGTCAGAACGAATTCGTTCTACCATTGGGCAGCGCTCTCTGGGGAATATGTATACCTCGACGAGCCTCCTCATAGAGAGTAATCACTTCATCGACCACATTTTCTGGTGCAAATCGCTTCCGCTGGCTCTCCTTGATCTTATTCGGATTCCCACCGCGATCGGAGACAAAATCGGCAAGATCAAGCATCTTAAGTCTATAATAGGAGGGATAACAAGAAGGAATCCACCAGAAGAACTTAATGAATGAAGATATTCAAGAGACAGATGGAGGATAAATGTGGAAAGGCTTTGACACAGTCGAACCCGGTGTCATCTAATTAGGTTTGGAGGGGTTGAGAATAATTGAGGGGATCGTTTTCGCTTGGGGTTATTGAGTAGTCATCCCGTGCATAAGGAGGAGAAGTCAATACTAAATAAGGTAAGGTGCTAGGGATAATTATGTAACTAGAAGAGCACATAAGGTAGTTAGTATTATGTACTGTATTTACCTAATTTATCAGGCTGCTACTTAGGTAAGTTCAGGTGCTCTTAAAGTTGATTACTACTAACCGACCCTTCCACCTTGGGCGACCCTGAAACTTAAGGTGGAAGGGTCGGTTACTGGACACCCTCTAAGTAGTTAACTTTCTAAGTCAGGTTCTCTATGGGCCGGAAGGCACAAGCCAGGAGCCGTCCCCTGTGGTAATTATTGACTCTTGTGGCTGCCACCAGCTGTTCCCCCAGTTGGGAATCTGAGTGTCTGCAAAGCCCCTAGGTATCTATGTATGAGAGCTCAAGCTGTATATTACGTTCGCTAGTGGCATGAACTGCTCGTTGGATTACAACCCGTATACTGTAGAAAAAAAGGGCTACTGTATCTCCTAGACCGGAATGCATTCTCTGCGTGAGCTCATTCTGGAAACGCTCCACTGTCCAGCTCATTCAGCCTTTAGATCGCTCCCTCGAATGTCATCATACTTCTCTCTCTCCAGCAGTGTCCGACCCCCAGTCTTCCCTACCCCCCTTGTACAACAGTGAGATTATATAACAGGTAGACCATAGAACGGGCAGGACATCAGGACCGGGTTTGATTCACAACCTCAATATTTCATTACAATTCCACTCATTGAGGCGCAGACCCGTATGAAGATTGGACTGGAATGCAGGAACCTCAAGTAGCGCTACATTAGGACGCACTTGCTGCCGCCTGCTGGTTGGGACGGGTTCTGGGACTTCTCAATCTCGCCAATCATCAAATCAAACGCTTTTGTGACGTTGTAGTCGAGACGAGCACTAGCCTCAGTGAAGGCACAATGAAACTCTTCGCCCAATTGCCTACCCTCGTCCAGCGAAACTTGACGCTGTTCCGATTTGAGATCGCTCTTGTTTCCAACAACCACGAGAGGAACGTGATCCGCTCCCTGCTCTTCGATTAGCACAGGAAAATAAAGCCATGCTGGCAACCTGCCGAATGCTTACAAGATGATTCAGAATTTTGTCGCGTATAACCCTCACCATGTCAAACGACTGGCGGGACGCTACAGAATAGACAATGATATACCCGTGTATTCCGATAAAGTGCTTAGAATTAAGTATGCTGTATTCATCCTGGGATGGAGTCGTTAGCCTAATTGAAGTCGCTCATGCCTGTATGCTCACTTGACCAGCTGTATCAACGATCTCTGTGGCGAAATCCTGACCGTTGTACTTGATGATGCGACTGAACGTATTCTCAATGGTAGGATAATAGCTCTCGACAAAATGATGTTCAACAAATCGGACCGTAAGAGACGATTTGCCTGCGCGATCAATTAGTTCGGGAAACACAATCAAAATGAAAGATCTCTGAGCAGGGCGACAGGCAAGTAGGTGGCATGCTCGTATACGGAATCGTACCCACGGACCGACTACCAACAATGGCAATCTTCCTCTGTTTCGGCGCAGCAGGCATATTTCCCTGCGTTTCGTGGTTTTCTTGACCTCCCCTCCGTCGCTTTGATTGGAATCACCCGGAAGTAAGAGTAAGTGAAAATGCCCAACCTTGCGAAGTTGGCTCTGACGGTCACGCCGACTAGCCAGACTGAGGGAAATAAGCACTGTGCCTCAATGACATAAACTGTCTGAGAGAAAGTGTAGTGATTAAATTACAATAATCGAAACACCGATTAGTCTGCTGTTTTCTCGGGGTCTACCTAGTTATATAAGGTGCATGTTCCCAAGTGGCAAATCACCTTCAAAGCATCCTCAATGCATACCAAGGTCGCTCAGAAACCGCGGAACATACAAACATATCAAACGACATCCGATCACCGATCAGACCTACATCACCTTGAAGCCCGTTTGCGGCGTCCTTTGCCTCCATCATTACATGATCATCTGTGCTGGCAGGGAAATGATGTTTACATTCAGCATAATATTCGCGCCCTAATGGGTGACATACAGATGGGAATCCAAAAAGTCTGGCTATTTCCATGCCATTGTGCCTATCCACAACTTACAAGAGCATGCTTTCACGCAGCTGAATCTGCTGTATGATATGTTCTAATCTCGCCACAAGTCCGGAGTTTTGTCTTTTTCGTGACTCGGATGGATCCAAATCCGAATCAATTTTCCGATAGTATTTCAAAAACTCACCTGCGGTTGATAAAACTACGGTAAGTCCCTTGTTGTCGAGTGACCTCCTCACCTGGGAGATTGCCTCGTCGCTGAAACAAAGCGTGAGCAGTAGGATAGATAGATATCCGACAGTAACGTTGCGATGGACTGTAGGAGTTGTATGTGCCTATGGACATTGTTATCAGAAGAACAAATTTGAAAGCGACATGCTGTTTGCTTCTTTTCCCTACCTCACTTATTGAATTCACCCTTTCGTAAAATCGTTCCAAAAGCGATTGGATTAAAGGTGTTGAATCGAGAGTCAGGCGAAGGAAAAGACCCCTCGCTGACTCGCTTTTCTCTGTCATATTGATAAGGACCCCCAAGACTAAGACTAATGTGTTCAAGGAGTTGTCCTCCCCTGTAGAACTATCGTCGGATGCGTCGCGAATCTCTGACATCATGATGTTGACCAATCCCTTCACCAGCCCTGGTGTTGCATATTCGTTACAGAGGTTGGGGTCGTTATTGGTGAGGTTCAATATTGCTCGAATATAGTACATGCGAAGTTGCCTACCCTGGTTGCACTGGCTCAGATTGAGAATTTCATGAAGCTGAGAAAGTGTACTCAGAGACGGGTAGTTTTGATCGTGGTCTGCTGCGCTGAATACGATGGCGTAAGACTCCAGTATCGAGAAAATCAAAGCCAGTGTCCTGAACCTTTCCCGCGATACAGGAAATTTAATAGTCTTGCCTCTTTCTGGCATTAACAATTTGACAAGGTGGTCTGACAGAGTCGCCGGAATGGGTTCGATGCTGCCGCCCCTATTGTTCAAACTTACTAGGCAAGACTGGATGCTACTAAGAGCCACGAATTGGGGCGATATTTTGAAAGCCGGCTCGTCTCCACTGATGGTTGAAGATAAACGAGGTAAAATGTGCTTGATGGACATTTGTACCGATCTTGATAACCCAGCAGCTGGTAGTTGCGACAGAGACAAAAGATCGCGTTCCACGGGCAGTAGCACAGGAGATAGGACCAGCACATTCGACCAGTGGCTGATTAACGAGATGTGAGATAACTTGTCGCATGAATTGATTAATCCGCATGCGCAAAGGGCGAACGATGCAGATACCACATCAAGGCGACCATCTATGCATCCGACGAGTCGTTCGTGGAAGCCATGTTCGAGAAAGCGTCGGACAAACTGACGGTCCAGTAGCTTTTCACATACCTGGACAAAACTACTGCATCTACCAGATGTGGTATTGTATGCATCCTCAATGTCTTCGAATATCAATTCAATCGCGCTTCGAAAGCGAGAGTTGTCTCCAGCTTGCCTAAGCTCGTGAATCCCACGAACAGGACCGCTGTCGCTTGTTTCTCCGTCACCAAGATGCGACGAATGACTGGAGAGAATCTCGGGTCCGTATTTTCGGCGCCCTTGAACAAAGCTGCCCGCTGTTGAAGCCAGGATTTCGGAAGGACGACGACTGTCAACGATAGACGTGTCATCCAAGAAAGACCGCTGTCGCGCGTAAGTGACCCTACAGCCTCCCACTCTGGATGAGACTGGGCCAGATGTTTCAGCAGTACCCTTGTTCGCGCTTTCAGTCACCATCTTATCAAGTCGAGAACTCGGTTTTGGCTGAGAGTTTAATAAAGAGTCTCTACGAGGGCTGTGGCGGGGAAGCGGGTCGACTTCGGTGTCGTCGTTGGCTCTGGATGCTCGCACCGCATCTTCGACTGTCGGCTCCAGTGGACCAAGTGAATCCACTAATCGCCTTCGCGCAGTTATTTGTGTTCTGGTCTCTGCCTTCGAATTAGATTGAAATTGAGAGCTTGAAGTAGCAAAGTCTGTGGCGATTGAGAGTGTTTTGTTCTTAGATATCGTCTGCTCCATACGGATTGACTGCAAATTAGGCACTGCGGTAGATACTTCGTTTCTCCCAGAACTACCGTAAAATTTCGCTTGCTGAAGATCTTGGCCACCAATTTGTAGCTTGAGTTCACTCTGATCGACAAAGCCCTTTCCGTCTGTGTAACTCATGTCTGCGACTGCGCTCAAATGTCTCTTATCTCTTGGCGCCATCCGAGAAACAGAATTATGCTGCCGATGTGAGACATCTTGGTCCCGACCTTGTTGTGTTTTCTGAGAGACGTCAAGCTTCCTGCGTTTGTCTTGAGCAGAACGGTGTTCTTTCCCACTCTGGCCTTGGAAGCGACACAGCATCTTATCAACCGGCTCAAGAACAGGGGATCCATCCTTAGATGGGAAATGCTCGTGTTTTCTTCCTGGAGACTGCTTCTCTGATGCTTCAGTCGTAGGGTTTGAAGATTTTGGTGGTTCATTACTCTCAATTTGAACTTTCGGCGTCGCATGATTACCCTTTCTATGTCTGGCTGTGGCGGATCTGACAAGATCGGTACGCCGTTCAGTGTCTTCTTTCATGTTGAATGAGAGAAGAACCTGGAGAGTATGCTGGAAAGGAAGGTGAAGGACGGGTATGCCGTAAGGTGCCCGTCAAAGGGTAAGTATTCTATACTTACAGTTGAGTGATGAAAGTGCAATAACCAGATATCTTACCACAACCTACGTAAGGTTGGCTACCTTAGCTAGTACGGTAAGGTATCTTACCTTACAGTTACCTTAAGGTATTATTGCCTAGGTAGGTAGTTAGGTATTTGTTAGGTAGCAAGGTAAATTATTAAGGTAAAGTAGTAACATGAGGCCTTTGTAGGCAGAGCTGTGTATAAGCTGACGGTATTAATTATTATTCGTATTATAAAATTGCGGATTCTATTGCCAATGCCTTCTAAGTAGTAGGTATGAAGTAGAGGGAGATTCATGACTGAAATGGAAATAACAGAACTGGGGTCGATCTACCTACCAAGACGGTAAGGTACCTGTAGACTGGAGTGTAACCTAGGGTATGTGTAAGGTACCTTCTAGTACTGGAGCACTAAGCTTTCATTAGTACCAATTTACACAGTGCTCCGCCTTTGCTGCTTCAAAACACTATCAGTACCTCTCCAGAGAGGTACTCGTAAGACAATCTGTTTTGTACTTTATCATTATTCTATCTGACGAGTTGTCGAGTCACTCGAGTCCTCCCCTATTTGTCCGTACACTATCCAGCTGTCTAACTACCTCAAAAACAGAACCATGACAAGCATTGGAATGAATGCTGCGCCTTCGCCTGCACAAGGTGTTGGCCCGATTTATAGGCCTGAAGGAGAGAAGCCTACAGCAACAGTCTCCAAAGACATTTCTTATGAGAATGTCCATGTGCTGCCACAAACTCCGCAACTAATTGCGCTTCTGACGTAAGAGGAATACTCAAGACAGACGCTGTGCCCTAACTAATATTGATGAGCATTGAACTCAATCATATGGAGAAGCGTATCTTCTGACCAATTGCAGTATGATTAGGGATAAAAATACAAGCCGTGCCGATTTTATCTTCTACTCCAACAGAATTATCCGACTCTTGGTGGAAGAGGGATTGAATCATCTACCAGTCGTCGAGCGATCCGTTACAACTCCTGTGGGCCGTGAATACCTCGGGGTCAGGTTTGAAGGAAAGATATGCGGAGTCTCAATAATGAGGGCCGGAGAAGCAATGGAACAGGGTCTTAGGGATTGTTGTCGGTCGGTCCGAATTGGGAAAATTTTGATTCAGAGAGACGAAGAAACCTGCAAGCCGAAACTCTTCTACGAAAAGCTCCCCCTTGATATCGCCAACCGTTGGGTGCTACTCCTTGATCCGATGTTTGCAACTGGTGCGTCATGTCCTGTATTTCCGATATGATTGAAAGCTACCCATGTTGACGACTTGTAGGAGGCTCTGCAACACTTGCTGTCGAAACCCTGAAGGCGAAGGGTGTGCCCGAAGATCGAATATTATTTCTCAACCTCATTGCAAGTCCCTCTGGGGTCGCAGATTTCGCAGAACGCTTTCCAAACCTTAGAGTAGTAACGGCGTTCATTGATCAAGGCTTGAACGAAAAGAAGTTGGTTGAATTCTCTCCCAATGGATAGAACACTAACTTATCGATCCAACAGGTACATCATCCCAGGTTTAGGTGATTTTGGTGATCGGTATTATACCATGTAGCCATGTGGCTTACCCGGAATCGGATGTCCCCGCGTGTAGCGGCATAGCTCTCACATAGAGTTGCAGTTTGCAGATGTGCTTTGAAAATTCATAGTCGTCTCGACTGCTCGGCCGATTAAAGCAATTGTTGAATCTCGACTATTGTGGTCCTTGAAAGTGGTCTCGTATAGCTGTTCCATAAACTTCGTAAGTTCTCTGGTGAACTATCGATCATGAGGGCGGATAAGTACCTATTCA